CCTACTGTCGTTTTCTAATATCCGGCCCCCACTTTTAAAAATCCTCGAATCTTTTGATACATTCAGGTTATTCAAATGTTGTACTTGTTTTTTTCCCACTTTGTAATATTCTTTAGCTGTATAAGTGTATACAGAGTCTTTCATGAGGAATGTTTCATACGTTAATATGTTACAGATTTGCTTATTTTAAGCAGAAAAGTTACTAAAACGCATGTGCTCAGTTCTCAAAGATACACCGACACGTTCACTTCAAAGTTTCTTTCTCTTTTGGTTCCAGTAAAAAACCAAAATACCCTTAATCACCACTGGGTTCATTTTTATGCCCCAAACCCTATAAAAACGAGTTTACTCTCCTTTTTTGATTACGTACACCTACTGTTTACTCTGGTATCCAAAAACCCGACCTAATCTCGTGATTGATTTTTAAAATGAAACTAATAAAGTTTGCAACGAAGGAATTCCAAAACTTTCCCCTTTCTCGTTAACTACCAAACACAGAATGCCACCTTTACTTACTGATTCATTTTCTTCATGTCTGCACTAAATTAAATCATAAGTATGACCAAACTAAAATGATCTGATGCTCATTCAGTAGTTTTAAGTAGATAAGGCAAACTTTACTTATCGCAACATCTCGTCTCCAGACATCCGGATACCCATTATGAAAACAATGCTTTATTGAACTTAAAAGACGCAGAAAGGACAATCTTAAATTCCACCATTGGAATTCCATTTATTGGAGCCTCTAAATTTCGCCACCCTGGAAGTTTTCTATTATATATCTAACCTACTCTAATCCTCTCTCTATAGCTCTAAAAAGTAAATCCAAAGTTTAGAGCTAACGTTACGTGTCTCGCTTACGTAACTTATTGCAATTGTGGATCAATAGAATTACAACACCTGTGACGGAAGTTTTAACTAAACTCTAATACAATCAGCTTTAGAACAATCTAAGACACGAATAACCAGTCTAATGTATGCTTCTCCGTGATCTTCCACTTTATCTCATCTGCTACTAAGCGGGTACTCATTCATTCATGTACCGACCGCGATTTTTTCCAAAGATAACCCACTTCTGTGTATATAAATTTAGTACCATTATTCAAATAAATGTAACACTTTAAACGTTCCGCAAATAGTCGCTTTAAAAACCAAATCTATCACGAACAGTTTGTAGGGGATGGTAGTGGAGCTGAACGTTTGTTCATCAATATTCAAACTTTGTCGTTGCAAGATCATTTATTACATCTCTCGGCAGAGCTCCTTTCGCTTAACTGCAGCCAATTTAAACGGGCCGTTGGCTATTATGCTACCGTCAACCCGCGTCGTCTCCACATTCATACCAGAATTACACATTCTTTATACGGTATTGGTTTGGGATAAAATACAACCCTTTTTCTAGTTATTTTTATCTAATGCAGAATTTGTTTCCCTCACATAGATTAATGTCCTTGCAAGATAATCGTGAAAGTATTACCATTCAAATTGCTGTGGTGGACTTTTTCTTTGACGTCGTGCATCAGAAAGTTCTTTTAGAAACCAGGACCTTCTCTCCTCGAACATACTTCTTGTTACATCTGCAAAATGTGATTTGACAATGTCACCTGTAGTCGAATAGAAGATTTACCTCTAAGCGTGTCTAACGTTTCCCCTTCCCCGCCGTAGTCTTTTGGAAGTACTGAAGGTGGAATGTGAGCACGAAGTTCACTTATGCTCGAAGCTTTGTAAAAATGTATCTAAGAGGGTTTGTTTTCACGTTCCTCTATACAGCACTTACCCTCGACACTATTTTCACCGGTAAAATGGGCTTAAAAATATTGAACATGGTCCCTACCCCTGGAAAACAGTTGACCACGTGAATGGCTTTAATTCGCGTTGGGTACGCCTTGAAGACAACGTGTTTGAGTTCCCGAATGAACCTGGGGGATAACTGCAGAGCGTAGCCCAAAGGTAAATTTTCACAGTCTATAATTACAGTGTGGCCATTAATCATGCAAGTGGGGCTTTCGTTCATGAAAACGTCAAAGAGCATAAAGCCCAACTTTGATGCGTTGATAAGAGATACCTTCTTTATGTCGCAGTACTTCCACCTCACTATCACAATTTCGAAGTTTTCAATGGTCGACGATATCATTATTCTGCAACGGGCAGTTGGAATTTGACAGTTTCTCACCTGCACTTACCCCCTTGAAATAGCTTCCCTTAAACTCTCACCGCAGGGATCCCTATCGTGAAAAAACTCGCTTTTGCTTGACCTCAGCTGAAGGTAGTGCGTTAATTTATCCCGGGTTTTTAGTTGGTCGAACTTGCATCCTCGCAGAAAGTTCAGTAGGTGTAAATCAGCTAGAAGCTATTACAAGTATTAGTGTTACATGTAAGTCCTTACTGAGCACTTCATCTGGAAATGATTGTGTGGCAACCCACTCTTTTATCAGCATCAAGCTGCTCTCATTATCACCTGACTCTTCCATTGGAGGTCTATCCGTGCACCAGTGAAATACTTTCCTGCATCATCAGCTCAAAGTTGCTGAGACACTATTCCAAAGGTTTATATACAAACGATAACACGCTAGTGACCTTTATTCGAACAAAAACAAAATGTGTCACCGAATCAATATCGTATGATAACAACTACTTGGCTTGGTCTAATCAAATATGTACGCAACCACACTGGATGAAGTGTTACATGACGAAATCATTTGGTGATCACTGAATCTACACGTAAACGTCTCTACCTTTGAGAGCCTGGTCAATAATGATCCTGTTGTCTTCATTAACAAACCACGCTCGTCTGTCCTTCAGTATTTTCCTTGTTCTTTCTGTAACATTTCATCTGATAACCTAAATGGCATGTAAACACTCACCCTTTAGAGTGTCAATCGATTCCCCTCTTCCTCCGTACTCTTGGGGTAGCACGTGCGAAGGGATGTGCTTTAAAATATCACCCGTGCCGCCGTTTGTATAGATTTTGATCTAAAATCATATCTGCACCTTTATTGTCGTTGATTTAGAGAACTCACCCGTGATTTAATATTTTCTGGTAGAAATGGCTTAAACATGCTAACCATGATTCCCATAACCGTGCCTGGATTAACAATGTGCACTCCTTTAATCCTTGTAGGATAGGCTTTAAACATAATATACTCTAATTCCTTAAGTAGAGAGGGGCTGAATTGCTTGATGTACCCGAAGGGTAGATTTTGGCAGTCTATAAGTACGGTGTGCCCCACCGCCATAAAGGTGGGACTTTCGTGAACAAATACGTCAAAAAGCATAAATCCCAATTTCAGCACGTTTAACAAAGGCACCTTCTTTACGTCACAGTGTTCCCATCGCAGTATAATCATTTCTGTGTCCTCGGACATCGCGAGCGAAATAATTCTGGAACCAAACAATTTGGGACGTTTCCATGACGTTCATTTACTCACCCCCTCGATAGGACATCATCGAGTTCTGCTTTCTCCGGATCTCTGCTCAGATAAATATCCCTCACATGCGCCCTTCTGGTGAAATAGTGCGATAGTTTCTCCCGGGCTTTAGCTTGGTCGAACCTGCATCCCCGTAAATAGTTCAAAAGTAACAGATCACCTGCAATTCCAATCAGTCTCGTGTACAACGCGACTTTTATTACCTGGCGTTTGGCTTAGAAAGGGTTGCTGAGTGATCCACTCCCTAATCTGTTTCAGTTCCAAATCCCTAACTTCGGCGGTTTCTCCCAGCTCCCTTTCGGCTTTCTTCTCGATTTCCTTTGTCAGACATGTCGGAAACATAACTGTAAAAAACGGGTTATCTTCACTTAGACATTGAACGCTTCAAAACGGTGCCACATTTACTTTTGCTAACTGCGATTGTTAGTAAACGTGTTAACTCGTGGTAATCTTATCGGCAGTCGATAGTCTCCGGAATTAATTAAACTACACAGTAATTATATCACTTAAAAATAACGAAATAGTACTAATGTCGTGATTTTGCATCGGTCTTAAAACATTTTCCAAAACGATACGCATGCGAAAAGGCACAGCTGTCAATTGTTGACACGTATGTTTTTAACATTTGCCGGATGTATGAGGTTGATTTAAATTTTATCAGTACGCACTTCGTACTAAATACTGTGATTCAATTTCTTTTCGTTTTACCTACTTCTACTACACCAGGCATAACTTTTGCACCTCTGAGCCTAGTGACTCCTCGTCTTCAACCATATATTATTTTATGGTTCAATTTTTTTGTGGTTATCCCTTATATAAAACCACCCCTAGCAACTCATTGAGGAAACAAACGATTGTTTAAAGAAACTACTGCCTGTTTCAACATCTGCAATAGCTGCAGTTATTCTTGCTTTTGAATATTGCAACATCCTGGTCATCACGCAGGATCTTTTATCGCACGTGCTGCTCTAGTATCTGAAGATTATAATACCATAATATCAAATAAACGATTTCAGCAGTGTTGTATATCTTCAACGTACGATAACCAGCTTTATCAGTGTAAACTTATCTCTGTTTTTTTGTCGTTATACAAAATAGCGCTTACGAAAGGTAATTATTATTTGTTGAAGAAAGATTTCAGACGATTAGCCTACTACTACTACGTCTCTCACAATGAGTGATGAAACTTCAGATGAGAAGTCCAGGAAGATCTTTATTTTTGCTTGTGCAAGTTTTTATCAGAGCCTTTTTTTTGCGTCACACCAACGATCAGTTTGCCTTTACTAGAAAAAGGTGCCAGTGGATACAGTTGGTTTACAGGGGTAGTCTACGAGTATTGGAAAAGTAATGAATTATGCGACGTTTACTCTGTTGAACTGAATTATTGTTGATATCTCTCCCCCTTTCTTACTGGCATAAATGATATTTTTGTCAAGTATGAATAATGGAACGATTATGATCTTTTTTGTACTGTTAAATTGCACAATGCACAAAAGTTAATCAAAGCTTAACGGAGCTGATAACATTTGTTTCGATAAAAAAATGACATTTGCCTTGATTAAATTAGTTAATTTAACGGAGCTGTTAAACCCAGATTAAGCTAAAATTCGTATGCAGAAAAAACAATCAGCATTAACGGCGCCGTCAAGCAGCCTCTAATCACGGCAAAATTTAACCGGTGCTCGTCGGTTGATTAAAGTGACAGTTCGTTCGTAGTTTTCGATTTGAGCTTGTGAAAAGTAATTTTTATAGAATAATTAGGCCTATTCTAATAGTTTTTTTTCACTACTAGCGTCTGATGACATGATTATTAACCTTTTTTCCACTTGTAAAGTAGGCTTTCTCGGCATTTGTTCAAAGTGGTTAATAATTTTTTATTATTAACTAGTAGTCAATAATGAGAACTGTCACGCTGTCACTTTTAGAAAACACAACCCGAAATTTCGCTCAATGAACGTTTAGACAAGTTCTCTAAAACGAATAATTGCCACCATTCGCAATTTCCAGAGAAATTACATACCTAAAATTATCACATTTTGAAAAAATTCGAACGAAATTACTCTTTGAATAATCTCAATGACAGAACAAAATACGGCCTGTTTGACTTGTACTTCCACGTACTTGATTGACATGTTAAATTAAGAAACAAACAATTCTGTCCAACCGTTCACTTTCTTATCAATAAATATGTTAATTTAGAGGATTTCAAGTGCTAGTAGTGAAAAAAATAGTATATATACCACGGTAGAGAAGTCTATTATTGCCTTTGCACCTTACACCCCTCGGCGCAAGCGCCTCGAGATGTAATCTTGGTGCTCAGGCAATAATAGTGGACTTCTCTACCTTGATATATAATGTACTATTACATCGTTATATGTAGTTAGATAGTTTGGATCATGGTTTACAAAATCTTTCCTGCCGTTATAATTTCTATTTAACATGTGGAACGAGATCATACAGGTTTGGATTTAATTTTTTTTTAACTTTTCTCTCAGAAATAAGTAAATTAGCTGTAAAAAATGTCGTGATGATGTAAAGAATTTATTTATGGATCATTGGGGTCAACGAAATATGTGTTATTTCTAACTAGTCATCAATAGGCTGTTGTTCTTTAAGTACTTGAGGTCAAGATAGCGGCAATCGGGTGCAAATTACGTCATTTTTAATGAAATATAGGGTTACATTTCTTAGTAAGCATAAGATAAACCCGTAGCGTGGAAACTGCTTAACTTTTTTTTGAATGACCTTTAGAATCATCTGACATTGGTAATAAAAAGACCCTAACCAATAAAAAAGTGGACATCGCCTTTTGAAGATAATCCGTCATTTTTGGGTCTGCGAAACAACTTGGTAATTAAAGAGAAGGTCATTCATTTAACCGTTAACGTAACAATTTATTTATCGAGATATCGTCCGCTGTTTGTCCCTCCGCTCTGTAGCAATATTTCGCCTCACTATAAACCTCGCAATAATTCGCGAAAATTATGGATTCGATCGACAAACGTTTTGGGCGTTGCAGTTGGTCCCAAAGAACAAGTACAGAATTGAAATTCGAACTTGTTAATTCCCATAGCTACTTACCACCCTAACTCATCTAAATTAATGCTATAAAAGTGTCAAATATGGTTTTGTATTTGATGTTAAGGTAGATGAGAATATTATTATTATCTATTAAGATGCTAGCCGTCATCGTCGTCGCTCGTGGAATCGTTGTAGCTGCCATGCGAGCGGCCTGGGTTCGATTCCCGGTCGATGCAGAATCTTTTTTTAATTTTTGTATATTATTTAGCATATTTAATATTTATATCTCGCCAGACTAAGGCTGATAGTTGACGCACGATGGCACTTAGGCCCGTAGGGGCTGGTATTTTTAGTTTTGAATTAATCGGGAAAATTTAATGAAATTTATTAAAGTAATTTTGTATGTCAGTGAAAAACAATGTATCAATATCTTGGATTTCATTCTCAGTTCCCTTGTATTCCCAGTTTGATACAGAAAGATTTAAACATTTAAAGAAGCTGGGTGATACGCCCGGACTATCGAGTTTGGATCCATTAAATAAAACTAATGAGGTAGAACTATATGGTTACTATGGCTATAGATAGTTAACGAGATAATTGAAGTCAAATGCGAAAAAAAACGACATTTTCCCATTTCTTCTTCGTTTTTTGTTTATAACATTATGTTTCCCTCAGTTTTCGGCCAGGGGAACTATGATTTTTGGATTCAGCGAATTTTACATAGAATACACTTGGTCTCGTTGAGTAAAGTGACAACATCCAGTTTAGACTACTTTTGGAGCTAATGTGACTGGACTATCTATTATTATTTTATTTCCCTTCACTTTATATGTCTAATCTAATCTAATATGTTATTTATAATCACGTATTGAGTGATTGATAGCTACAGTTTAAAGAAAAATATAAAATTTAAATAGATTTAAATAGCTGCATATAAATAAGAAAGTTGACATTCACATCTGATTTTTACAATATGCGATATGCTGCCCTTTACTAGAGGAATCGTTGGTTAGAATTTCCAAAAAATATCTCCCTAAATAAGAAATATGACATTGCGCAGTATGCGCATGCGCACATTAATATATAAAATAATAATAAATTTTTTTCGTTGGTGTGCCAGAGGCATAAGTTTCGAAGTACGCTGTATGCTGCTGTGGATATACTAAACTACAGGGTGGCCAATTAAGAATTCGAGGTAAGTACTCTATCTGAGAATCTATCCATCGTAGAGGCTTGCGGTAAAAAAAGTTATTACTAAAACGGCCATGAGCAAAACCTGGAAAATATTTTTAAGTTTCTGAAATGACCGCTAGGGGGCGTAACTGCAATCTGGAATCTAAAAAGTGATGTTTCTGTGAATTCCGCTATATTAACCTAACAAGAAAATGTCCGGTCTCTGAAGTCGATGCTAATCTGAACCATTTTTATCTTCGAAACGGCTGAGCCGATTTTAACAAACTCGGGTTAATTGAAAAGAGAAGTTTTGTTAGTTTCACATATCGCCGCTTGAGGGCTTTTTTCGACATTCCGACAGAAATGGTTAATTTTATGAAAAAAATTAAATGCGCTGGTTTGATTTTTTTTTTCATGATTTATTTAACCGTTTCGCGCATTGCGCATGTGTGCGGGGTTGGCTTGCAATCGCGATCAAACAGTTGCGCAATCGAAAATTGCAACCCTGCGCCTAGCCTTAAGGAAACTGAGAAGGCGCCATGTTATTATTACTAATTAATAATAACCCTTCAGTCACTTAGAAATAAGTAAACCTACCTCAGTTTCGCGAGAATCATAAACGACAATCAAACTGGAACTCACCTGTAACAAATAAAATATGCAATTAATTTTCTATTCTATTTTACAAGAATTTTCATTATTTTGGTTTTATGCCAACAGAGCATTTTCAGTAATAGTTGTTACCCCTTATTCGTTACTCCATTCCATAAATTTAACATAGGTATTCCTTTTTGTATGTTTTTTTTTTACTTTTCAGGCAGCAAATTACTGAAAGTACCCTCTCAATTTAATAATAATAATAATAATAATGACATTTATTGAGTTTTTTCAACAATCTGTATTAATTACAGTGACAAGAACAGTTGTTATTAAAGATCCGGTAAATTCACGTAACTCGGGTGGAGTTGAGCTTAATTCCTGTTCTAATTCTAACTGATGTTCCATTTTGAATAAACTGCGATACCTTTATTCACGCCAAAAGATGAAAACCAACAATTATTCAATTCAATTTAAACGTCAAATAAGCGCGGAACAGTACTACCAATTGTCGCAAAACCGTATGCTGATACACTAAAGCAGTGAATTTTTAAATTCCATCAAAATATTTCTTGATAAAAACCAAAATAGAAAAAATAGTATAAGAAACACGTTTTATAAGACGCTTTATCGAACTCGTGTGATAAAAACGCATCTTATAAAACTTGTTTCTTAATATATTATTTTATAACTACAACAGAAAGACAACTGCGTTTCTGGATGTGCGAAAGATCATAGCAAAGATAACCATTTAATGGTACATTTTCTTTTGTTGGTTGTAATTGATTTGTTAGTATTTCTTGTGAAGTTGCCTTAATTTTCTAATTAAATTCTGTAAAGTTTCTGCCTAAAATCGTTTTATGATTTATAACCAATGTGGAAGTTATTCATGTCCATGAACTTGGCAGGCCTACTACAGCAGACCATAGTTCTACTTACTCATATCGTTAGTGTTCCGTTAGTGCACGTTAGTGCCGCTGAAGAAATCGTTAGTGCAGAAAAGGAAACTTACTATTTTAAAAAAATATTTGTGGGCCTGCTAACTTCATGC